CCTATATACATCAAAAAACGATATACTTATTGACATGTGTGTGATGCATAGCTAGGGTGAAATAACTCACAAAAGATACAATTGCGCGTTTCGTGTAAACAAGAGTTATTAGTAAGGGCTCGATTCGAAACAGTTGAAAGCCAGTTCAAATACGAAGTTGAAAAGCACTAGAAACCGAAAACTTGTGCCAAAAACGACAAAGGCAATGTATGCCTGGAGTAGAAAGACCTTAGTGTGAAGATCAATTTAACATTTTATAAACAGTAAATGTACCGAAAATAAACATCAATTATATATCATGTCAATACAAAAGTGCTGACTATTGGAATGGTGATACCTTCAGAGAAGAAACGCCACCAACAGTGGCATCGACCCAGTGGTTGTAAAAACTCACCAAAGACGATAGGCTTATAATTTAATACGTCAAACGTGCGTTACGTATAAACAAGACTCACAAGTGGCGCAAGAGTCAATACACAGGGCCTTATCTAAAATTTTGGAGAGGGTGAAGTGAATTTTTCCATGAGGGATTAGGGAGAATTTGTAAGTGTTTCTGTAGATATAGTCTTAAATTGCTGTTTCAGTTGCGTCTTTTTTCATGTTTTCCAATGGCACATATATCGATGACAGAAGATTTAAATGATATATTTTATTTAGTACTATATATTTGAAGCATTACATAAATCAATAAATGAATCTATATCAAGCACTACATATACTGGTAACATTGGCAGCAGATATTTTACCACATACTATAATATATATAATAAGATATTATATTAAAGGCATTAACAATTCCATATGTTAGATAGACCAAAGTCAAATTTTTTTATTGATTGATCATTTTCTTTAATAGTCATTAAAGTGTTCAATGTCTTACAATTTACAGATACCATATAACTGGTGACAATTCTATTTTGATTGGAAACAAACTCTTTCACGTGGCACACTAGATACTGGTTTTATAATAGCAGTTTGTTTTCTATAACACTACAATCTTTGGTACAATGTCTATAAACTTGCTTGCAAAAATTCTGAACACTTTCTTATATGGCATATCTTGATAAGCACCCCAGAATAAAACCTTTGAGCTGTTAATAACCTTGTGTTTTGTAACATCTAGATTATTCTTCAAATGACCAAAGTTACAATGCGCTGATCTCATCATACCAAAACCGGATTTACAATTTGATAACTTAATAATACATGGTAACAACACGTGAAAATTTGACTTTACATCTGTGTCCGAACCAAAACTTGCGATAAGATTTTCACAAACACTTTCAACATGCAACATGTTTTTTTAGTTACATTTGTTTAGCTGTTCGTAAAACCTTAGCTCAATGCTATTCAGATCATCTTGATCTAAATTTACCTCATCATCAATATCACATTATTTGGTTTCCTCCCCGAGGGTATCAACAGCCCAATAGTCAGCACTTCTGTTTTGACTTGAGTGATCATTGATATGATCATAAATAAAAATTAACTTTTTACAAGACTTTGAATATTAGAAATACTAAGGATTTTCTTTCCAATGAGCATATAACATTAGCTGTATTTGACAAAACCTTCCTTATCCGGAATTTAGGGTCCATTCTGCTCTTCAACTTCTTACTTCATTTAACCTTTTTAACTTTTTGATTCGTCACTGGTGAGTCTTTTGTAGACGAAACGCGCGTGTGGCAATTTTAATCCTTGTATCTATGATGAGTTAATTCATTATTCGAATCAACATCATCACCAGTGTTTTTCAATATGCAACTATCAATAACACTTTTACTACATTCATTTAGTGGTCCAATGTATAACTTTACCATTACTAACATGAATAAACAGGTCTATAACATTTTTACACACTCAGTTAAAGTAACAAAATCAGAAATAGAACACAATCGGTAAATTTACAGATCAGACAACTACTCTGGTATTTAAAGATCTAAGGACCGCGGAAAATAATAGAAAGTTGAGACAAAGACACATCGTATATATCAACCAGTTCGTGATGGTGAAAGTAAAACGTAATTTAATAAAATTTTTATTTAATTACAGAGGATTGTATTTTTAATTTAATTCTTTATTTATAAAACATATATAGCGTCGAAATCAGTCGTTCTTCCTCATATGTCTCATTACTCTGATGGAGTTATTTTTTGTGTTAAACGCATAACCCTGTTAAAAAATTCCGTGTAGTGTGAACATACACATTAGTAAAATATCAATTGAGATATGTAAACAATGGAAGGAGAGCGTATATTGCCTCGGTTGGGAACAAAACTTTACCACAGAAAAATATTATTTCAGCTTTCCATTTCTATGAAGCAACATTCCAGCAGCGCATGTTTACGTAGTATATCTCTTCCAGGACTTGCGTTTCGTATACGTATTTCATTGATAGCGGATTGCTGCTTACAAGAAAGCTATTGTGCCAAGGGTTCAAAGTGGTAAAGAAGTGAACCCGTCGAAATTCTACGGATGCCATCACAAATTGGTTGATAGTTATGGAGTATATGTATCAGAGATGACAACCGATTATACCCAGATTTTGGAGGGGCTTTGTGTTGCCCAGTCTTTAAGTTTCTATGTAGTGTTTTGTTTTGTCTTTTCATCATCTTTCGTATTTTTTTCATAGAGTTGTCAGTTTCTCTTGATTTATTAGTTTTGAATGTTCCTTTGATGTCTTTTACCTTTTTATTTTTGCTTAGAAATTGGAAGTTTACAATTGGAAAGTTGAACTCATCACGTTTGTCATATACTCTAAATTGAAATCGTCCATCTGTGTCAATATCAAGATACGAAGCAGACCTCTACTTTAACAGTTTACTTAATTTCAAGTTCCAAGGGATATATGAGATGCTAGCAGTAGCAAAATTGTGGGTTATTGAGTGACGTGACATCATCAAAATGCCTGAAGGTGAAATAAGAAACCTCGCAAAATGCTATGTTTTGTCTTCACGAAGGTTCTTCGTGAATTGTGTTTCATATAAGTATAAAAACAATTCGATTTTAGAGTTGTACCCAACACGGGTAGTACCCATTGGACTATATGATGTCGATCAGCATTTTGATGATATTATCTTCGGTTTACTTGTTGAAATCAGTGTGATTTCTCATGACTTTAAAAAATTTGTATCTATGATTCCCATTTTGTATTAAAAGCACCATGAAACGAGAAGGCACAGACAATATTTGAATTGAGCTTTGGGAATAGTAGTGTAGAGCGCAGAAAAAAAATCAAAGATTGCTATTTCAAAATTTAAAGGAAATCACATCTGATTGACACCACTGGTTTGATAAATCTCATCATAATATTAGATGAAAGCCAAATAAAAAAACAATTTTCACAGAAATAAAAAAAAAAGGATCATTGTCCTTATATCATCCTTTCATAATATTCCAACAACTTAAAACTACCGCCAAAAAAATCCAATTTTATTTTCAATAACAATATTGATAAAAATGATAATTATGACACTCATAAACTTATACCTGATTGATTATGTATAGTCTAAAGAAATCAATGAGAAAATTAATATGTATGTAAATTATTAATGACAATAAATACTACTTGATTTCCTTCAATATGAATATAGATATATACTTTTCAACTTAAGAAGGTAAGAACTAAATTGGTTGTTGATGTGGTCCGATAAACTGTTCAATATTTTTGGTAATTCATTTTATAATTTAATGTAATAATTGTGCATGATCAAAAGAAGGATTATAACTGACTAACATGCATTGTAAAGAGACATACTTAATCCTGCGACTTCAGCTTAAAGTAAAGCCTGAATCGTTTACCTTGCAAAATTATGCCATTTTCATACTTGGTATAACCTTTATCGAAATAAATACTTTATTTTAAATTGTATTTCATCGGAAACTTATTTATTTTCAAATTACATCTTTTTAAGATCATTTTCAATTACATTTCCTTACTGCCAGGATCACTTGTTTATTTAAGCTAAAATCAGAATCAACAAGAAGTACTGTGAGCTATTGCTCATTAATGACATCTGTTGTAAGTATTTTGTAAACAGGAACTGGGTGAGTGCTGGCGTGAAAACGCATCACATGGTATAATACGCTAACATTAAGTCTGATACCAAATTTCCGGAAGCTCTGATACGTATTGCATTAGGAAAATGCGATGAAATATTCGAGGGGAGGACGGACGGACAGATGGACAGAGCTAAACCAGTTTACATTCATCCCCTCCTCCCGAGTAGTGATATATAAATTTATTTTCAAAATCTAATAGCCCTTCCACCTCTCGCATAATCTAACAGCAATCCAGTAAGTGGTCATCACGATATCTTAATCCACCATTTTCTACATAAGGAAATGCCTGTACGGAATATGACAGTTGTTTTCCATTCGTTTGATGTGTTTGAGCTTTTGGTTTTGCCATTTGATAAGGGACTTTCTGATTTGAATTTTCGTTGGAGTCCGGTATTTTTGTTATTTTACTTTTTATACCATTGAAATGATCTCAATTGGCATGTTTATGAAATGTATGTAAATTATAAAAAACAAAAAACCAAAAAAAAAAAAAAACCAGAAAAGTTTTCAATAAGAGCAGGAACTTGACTAAAAAGTCAATTAAAAGCTTCAGTAATGTGAATTATTTGTTTATATTGCCTTGATGATAGTTGTGTGTTGATAGTTTAAGATAAAATGCAAAAATTGTAAACACAGTCCTCATTAAAAAGCAAGAAGTCCTATAAGCATTGATTTGACAGTTTCTGTCATGTTTACTTCTTTCTAGATCTTGTTTTGATGATCGCTTTTTGCTGTTTACTGGTACTCCTTATCTATTATACTTATAAATGATCATTAAAGGTCGTTGATAACTTATATAAGTAGTCGATTGCCAATTTTGAGAACGTTGACGCTTATTTGTAGGTTTTATCTCGCTAATCATTTTTGCTGTTTGTCTTTCATAGTTTCCAAGAAAATTGCCAGTATATGGGTAAAATGTTTATGAAGGACAATCTAGTCAAATAAATATGAGGAAAAATAGATGGCTTCTACTCATAATCTGCATAACTGTGTACTTAAGTTTCTATATGTATATTAGATTCAAAATAATCAACAGACTAAATGGAAATAACATAGGGATATTAACGAGACGAACAAAATCCGGTATAACTCATGTAGAAGAGAACATAACAGACTATCAATTCCCGCCATTTTTGCGAATAAACGGAAAAGTTAATTGTCGTAAAATTATTGAAGGCGATGAAAAAGAAATAGCAAAAGCCAATAAATATATGAAATTTAATCAGCCAAAGAGAATAACAGAAGAGGAATACATTGCTAAAACTAATGACTGTAATAATTTCTTTAATTGTTTTGGATACGATGCCTACCCAGTGACGGAAGAAGAAAAAGAGTTTCCGTTAGCTTTTAGTATTTTGACATTCAAAGATGCTGATCAAACTGAACGTTTGCTTCGTTCAATCTATCGTCTCCAAAATTTCTATTGTATCCACATAGACAAAAGCTCTTCAGAAGTATTGCATAATGCCTTGAGAAAGATAGCAAATTGTTTAAACAATGTTTTCATTGTTTCAAAAACCGAAGACGTAATTTACAACCATGTGTCGAGGCTGAGGGCAGATATTAACTGTATGACTGATCTCTTGTCAAAATCAAACAAATGGAAATATTTCATTAATCTGCCTCATCAACAATTTCCTTTGAAAACAAATTTAGAAATTGTAAAAATACTGAAAATTTACAACGGTGCTAATGACATTGAAGGAATTACAAACAGGCTATTATCTCACCGTTTTAAATACAGTTATAGATATATCAATAATACTTTGAAGCGTACTGGTCTAAAGAAAGGAAAATTACCATACAATGCAAATATTGTAAAAGGCAGTGCATATGGTATATTTAGTCGTGAATTTGTCCAATATGTGATATACGACGAAAAAGCTAAGTCCGTTTTGAAGTATATGGAGGACTTTGTAAGTCCAGATGAATATTTCTGGGCAACATTGAATCACAACGAAGTTTTAAAAGCTCCTGGGCGCTTCACAGGTGAGAGAATCAATATTGTCGTAGTGTTGCGTTATGATTTCCAATAAGACTACGTATTGGGTTAAACCGGCGACATTAACTATTAGCAAACAGCTCAGGGCCCTTAACTAGGTCCATAAACACTTATTGTGCATTGTGATATTTAATCATTAACAGTTGACCAATGCATTATTAGATATTAGTTTAAAAATGCGTAAACGAATCCATACTGGACTGGCCCGAATCCGAACAATATGATCAAAGTTCTTAAAAGCCTTGGTGCTAAACAAATGTAGCAGTTATCGACAAATTAAAAAAAAATGTTAGGAATATCATTGAAGATCTGTAATATTTATATGGATAATAACAATAAAAGCCTTAATTTTAAAATAAATGCATGTATTTCTTTGTATTAAATGGAATACCTTTCACGCGAACATTTATTCGAAAATATATGAAAGGCAACTGTATAAAAAATATTAAGAAATCAAAGTGCAATACAAATTCTCAGTCGAAGAACAGATAGGGAAGAAAGCCAAATAACATGTCTCGAATGAAAAGAGATAAGGTGTATACGTTAATGCCACTAAAAATCCACAAAGAACAAAGACATTTAATGGGTTAAGATAAATACCGTCTTCAATAATTATATACAAGTGCCAGTACAAATTTCCAAGCTCTGATTAATAAAAAAAATCCAAAAAAACAACAATCGTCTCGAGTCTAGAAATTAAGAGTGTCAATAGAGACTATAAAAGATGTATCGTCATTCCACAAATCACAACAAATGATCTAACAATACAACTCGTACACTACCATAACCACGTCGACCAAAATAATAACTGAACGGTAAAAAGGTTTTGCTACACTACAGACATTCACCTTCACTATTCTGCATGGCAAAGAGGGCGGATCTGTTGCTTCAGCAGGGAAACATACTTGTTGCCTTATGTGACAAAGATATTCCATAATGGTCAACGAAACAAGTATGGCGTTGGTAGCTTTATAGTTAAATTGCTTCCTATGTGTATATGCCGTTTTGTCGGGTGATGCAGGCTTTACAGGAAAACTTACCCTGTCGAATCTCAACAGTCTCGCTCGTTTTTGGAGTTAATGGGATTCCATCAGTTTTTTTTACTTTAATTTCAATATTCCTATAGATTTATGAAATTTGAACATAGGTAACGTACTGTATTATTTAAAATTCAACTTAACTGTAATAGTGCTATAGCTTCCCTTGTTGTACGCCCAAAAATGAACGACACTGAATATACAACAAACTACTAGTAAATTAAATAATAACGTGGTGGATGTTCTTGAAACAATATATACATTTGATAATTTTTTAAACATTAACTTAAACCTTATCGGTTGCTTTTTAATATATCTTTTTGCTTCAGGTATACAACGCCTATTTTACTAATAGCTCTATATATTCAGACATTAAAACTGGTACAGAAAAAATCTAAAAACAAAATAGATTAAGAAATTTGAAGCTTTAGTAAACAAAATTAAGTTATGAACTTTTGTTAACAGGCAATCCAGAAAAAAAGTCGTGGCTTGCCGTGTATGCTTCATGGCGTCAAACAGACCGGTGTCATGGAAAGTTTGTCCGGGAGATTTGCATTTTTGGAGTTGGTGATTTGAACGAACTTGCTTCGAGAAAGGAACTTTTTGCCAACAAATTTTACGCAGATTTTCAATACTTGGCTATGGACTGTTTAGAAGAATATATTCATAACAAGACATTTAGTCCATTGCCATTTGATTCATTTTATTACAGACAGTTACCTTTTATAAGAAAATCTTGATATTATGAATAAATACACAAAAATATGTAATAACTGATAACTGCACGAAACAAATAACACGCCATGAATATTTTTTAAATTCAATTTGCAAAAGTTTTCATACTTAATATCTATGTTGAATACATGCTAATCTACACAGAAATCAGCAGTTTATGCCAATAATTAAAATGTTGCTTCATTGGTGGTAAATATAAAACCCCGTAAATGCCTACTGGTTACATTAAAGTTTGTTGGCCTATATTCGACACTGCTTTAAACGTAAGATATATAAAAATTTATTCACACAAGTTTACAGTTTGAAAGCTAGGGGAAGACTGCTCAAGCAACAGTTTATAAAACAATTATACATTTATTCAGAGTTAATTATCTTAAAACATTACAAAAGGTTCTGATAAAATATACCTATTATTGTCCAATCTTAAGAAGGCAATAATAATCGGATTATTGTCCTCCGGCTAAAATGAGTAAAATAGCGATAACTGCTTCTTTTGTAGTCTTGTGTAAGATACATGTATCATCTTTCGCACTTTTAACTGCCTTCGGATTAAATTGTAAATTTATGAAAACTATCATCTATATGGGTATTTGAAACAAAAAAAAACATTATATTTAAGACAAAAGAAACATTTAAAACAAGAAATATTCAATTTAAAACGACACTCATTAATGTTCGTATTAAGCACTGTTTGAATTATAGTAAAAGTTCCTAACGTCACTTCTCTTCCGGTTATATTCTCCATTACTTCCCGAAGTGCTCGTCCGTCCCGAGCACAAACAGTACTATTTCATCCTTCTATGGGTAATTCTTTCTGGTTGCTGAAAGCGTGAAGCATTCTGAAAACATCACGAACACAGAACATGCACATTTTGGACCATTTAATAAATATACAAAGGGGATATGTGGAGCCTACAAACAAATTTATACTAAATGAAGACAACAGTAGTATACCGCTGTTCAATAGTCATAAATCGATTTAACTGAAACAAATCCGGGTCACAAACCAAAACCAACGGAAACACATCAACTATAAGAGGAAAACAACGGAACAACATAAACACTGAACTGCTACAAAAACAAACATAGTCATTACAACTTAACAATTCAAAAGAGCATGTCTCAATTATATGTACAGTTATATAAAACCACACAGGGGGCTGCTTATATCACAATCATAAAGCTAGGACTAAGTATTTAAGGATTTTATTTGGGGAGGGGGGAGGGGGCAATAATGATCATTGGCCCGTTTATGATATTAACAACGATTGCACTTCACTGACAGGTTTTCGAAAACACTAACAAGAGTTATCAGAACCGATTATCAGATTATCAGTGACTATACTTGTACCTTGTAAACAGGTTTTGATCTAACATATGCATATTTCTGACATGCAGTATGCAGATCGTCACTCCTGAACCCACAATAGAAAACAAGACCACAAGACAGATGACTAAAAATAAAATGATTTTGTTATACCACTGGTAATCGATTTATATGAAAGCTTACACGTTTAAATTCACCTACTAATAGCATGTTGTGTGAAATGATAAAATAACGACAACTAAAACAATTGTGGTTATTTGGTATACTATTGTCAGTGAAACTTGTGTAAACACTAGGTGCTATAGTACAACAAGGATACACAGACTTTAGCTCGATTTATTTCCTATTTTCTTAATTTCGGTGGCGAAATAATCTTAGAATAATGAAGTTTTCTTAGTAATTGAACTTTTTAACATGATAATGAAAAACAAAAATAAACTTTTCTCAATGAGTTAATTAGCTAGACTCGATAAAACCATGTGAAGATAATATACTTGGCCTTGTTTTATTTTCAATGTTATCATTGCCGTTTTCGCTTATTTTTAGTTTGACCCTGAACATGAATATGTTGAATTTAATGATGCGGTGTGTGATGGGATGGTTCCCATGTATTTTGTGAACTACTGTCCCCCCGCCATTTAATAATCGTTTCTACCCTTAAGTATTCTTTCGACATAATACATGTCTTGTTAGTTGTTTGTATTTTGTGACGGTGGCTTATCTTTGTTTAATTTTGCTTTATCATTTTGATTATTTTTCCCTCTTTGATTTTTTGTATGGTTAATAATTGTGTCGTTGACTCTAACAAGGATTTCAGGCATGTCCATGAGTTCCTCTGGGTTTAGGTTGTGATCTTCATTAACTTCATCGGGTGGGTTCGTGGGGCGATTTTTGGGATCGAGGTACTTCTTCAATCGATTTGTATGCACTGGAGCCTTCAATATGTTGTCGTCAGAAGATTTGCGCAAATTGTAATTTATATTGGGCCACATGTTCCGCAATATAATATGATCAAGTCCATTTTCGTTGAAGTTTGGACGATTAGCCAACTGGAGTCCGTGTACAGTAAAGCCACACTTTATCCAATATTGGTTCCTGTACGTTTTTGTCGTGTTGCGGTTTAACTTCTGTTGTGCAGCTTCAATTTTTGTCTTAGCTATTTTTCTGTCAACGGCGAGATTATCGATAATCAATTTTAGGGCTGACTCTGTATCTTTGCTCAATCCTTTCATAGATTCTGGAATAAGGACAATGTCGTTAAGATTCCGGGGTTCCCTTCAAAATACCAAATAATATGGACTATACTGTGTCGACTCTGTTTGCACTGTGTTCCTAAAAGCCATCATAACGCCTTGTAAATAGTCGGGCCATGTCGACTGGTTGTCATTGCAATATTTTCGCAAAGATGTTGCCAATATACGATTCTGTCGTTCTGTTGCTGCATTATATTCTGGGTAATAGGATGACGTATTGAGCTTAGTAATCTGGAAAATTTTGCAGATTTCTTTTACAAGGTTTGAAGTGAAGTTTTTCCCCAAATCTGTAAGAATTTCTCTACAGGGACCAAATCGGCATATGATTTCGTTGAAAAGAACTTTTGCAGTTTCTACGGCTCCTCCAGTTTTTAATGGAAAGGCTTCACACCATTTAGAGAACGGACAGACTACTAGCAAAATTTGGTTGAAACCACCTGCTGACTGGGTAATTTTACACGAAATATCCATGTAAAATTGAGAATGGAAACGGGGAATGTGTCAAAGAGACAACAGCCCGACCATAGAGCAGACGTATTCATTTGAAAACGCCTGTTGCCGCTTGACATTCAATGCACGTTTTAACATACTCTTCAATGTAAGAGTACATTCTCTTCCAGTAATATTTCAATCTAATGTTGTTGTAGGTTCTGTCAATCCCTGGGTGAGCTGCAATAATTGCATCATGGTACGATAAAAGTACATCGTTTCGTAAGGACTTAGGTACAATAAGTTGTTTGATGACCCTCTGCGATAAGTGTCCTTTCTCTCTCGGATAATAATGGTGAAACAATATACCATTAGAAACAACGTAATTATTTGATTCTCGGACTATTACATCAGCTTTCGTTTGTCTCGAGATAGCGTGTTTTGTTCAATATATTGTA